AGTTCGCTGCGGGGGGAACTTCGGGTTTACACAGGAAATGCTCGCGACGACACTGGATGGGCACGACATTTTATTGGGACGTGATTGGTTGCGACGTTACAATCCGAGAATCGACTGGACGACGGGCAGCTGCACTGTGCGAAGTAGTGGTAACTGGGTCGAACTACCACGCTGGCAGTCGCCTGAGTCATCGACGGTCCACGTCAACGCCATCACAATGAAACGAGCAGTCGCCGCTGGAGCTGACGTGTATGCAGTAGACATCGCAGTGGTAGAAAAAGATGAGCAGCCGAGTGATTTCCAGAAATTGCTGACAGCGGTACCGCCGGAGCTACAAGAGCTATTGAAACGGTACCCGGGAATTTTCCCCGACGACTTACCGGAAGGACTGCCACCTCAGCGGGCGCACGACCATAGGATAGAGTTAGAGCCGGGGGCACAGCCAACTGTACAGCGCCAGTTCAGACTGACACAGCCGGAGCTCGACGAACTGGGGAAGCAGTTAGATTACCTGTTAGCAAAGCAGTTTATCCGACCGAGCTCGTCGCCGTTCGCCGCACCGATACTATTCACACCAAAAAAAGACGGAGGTTTTCGCATGTGCATCGATTACCGAGCGCTCAACAGGGTTACAATAAAGTCACGATACCCCATTCCCCAAGCCGACGAACTGATCGACCAACAGCGAACAGCACGGGTGTTCTCGAAAATAGATCTACGGGGAGGTTACCACCAAATTAGAGTCGAACCATCGGACTGCGCCAAGACAGCTTTTAGAACTAGGTACGGGTCGTTCGAGTACACCGTGATGCCTTTCGGGCTAACCAACGCACCCGCAACATTCCAGATGACCATGAACGAGGCGTTTAGACCACTTTTAGATAAGTGCGTGATCGTCTACCTCGACGACATTCTCGTCTACAGCCGCGATAAGCAGCAGCATTTAGCGGACCTGGAAGCAGTGTTTAAAATTCTCGAGGAGCATCGTTTATTGACTAAGGGGTCTAAGTGCGAGTTTTTTCGGGATAGGTTAGAATTTTTGGGGCACGTTATTTCAGAGGCTGGGGTTGAGATTGACCCGAAGAAGCTGGATACGGTCAAAGCTTGGCACCCCCCGACAAACATCACGGAGCTGCAGAGTTTTTTGGGTTTCGTTAATTATGTCCGTCGATTCGTGCCTGACATGGCCCGCTTAACTGCCCCACTGACGGATCTGCTGCGGAAAGGGGTCGCTTTTACGTGGGGGGAGAAAGAGCATGCTGCCTTCTCTACCCTGAAAACTGTTCTCTGTTCACCACCTGTCCTGCGCATTGCCGACCCACACCGCCCATTCGAAGTCATTACTGACGCAAGCGACATCGCCATCGGAGCCGTACTGTTACAGGATTTCGGGAACGGCCTACAGCCCATCGCATACGAATCACGAAAACTGCACCCACCTGAGAAGAATTACCCGATACACGATCGCGAAATGCTTGCGATCGTGCATGCGTTCAAAGTGTGGCGCTGTTACTTGACCGGCGCAGACGTGACAGTACGGACAGACCACAAATCTCTACAGTACCTCCGCGCACAGCCTCACCTCAACCCACGACAGATTCGATGGCTCGATTTCCTCGAGTCGAATTTTCACTACACGGTCACCTACAAAAAAGGAGCATCAAATATCGCCGATGCACTGACTCGCCCTACTGCCCAGATTCACGCGATACTACTCGCCCAGACCAGCCCACTGCTGACAGGCCTATTTACCCACGGATACCAAACCGACCCGTTCTTTACAGGAGGCAACTCGCAGCAGTTCGCAGCAGCACGAGGGATCTATTACGTAAAGGTTGGGACCGACCGCATTTGGGTACCCGGGTATACACTACTACGGGAATTACTGTTACAAGAGGCACACGACGGAGTTACCTCAGGACATTTCGGGGTAGAAAAAACACGACAGCAGCTGCAGCGGTATTATTACTGGCCAGAAATGTTGACCGACATCCAACGACACGTAGCATCGTGTCCCACCTGCCAGGTCATGAAATCATCACGGAAGCGGCCGGCAGGACAGTTGCAGCCGATCCCACCCCCAGAGCGTGCTTGGCAGCAGGTGACGATGGACTTCGTCACGGGGTTACCGGCCGGGGCGAGTGGGAACGACGCGATCTTGGTCGCCGTCGATCGACTGACGAAGATGGCACATTTCGCAGCATGCAAGAAATCAATCACAGCCGAAGAAACAGCCCGCCTCTTCATCACCACCGTCGTTCGCCTCCACGGGATACCATCGGCAATCATCAGCGACCGCGACACGAAATTCACCAGCAACTTCTGGCGGAACCTGTGGCAGCAGTTCGGCACACGAATTCAATTCAGTTCATCCTATCACCCCGAAACCGACGGACAGACGGAACGGACAAACCAAACAATGGAGCAGCTGATTCGAGCCACGTGCGACGATCCGAACACGTGGGAACATCAGCTGCCGCTCATCGAGTTCGCGTACAACAACGCACCATCAGCCACGACGCAACAGTCACCGTTTTACCTGAACTACGGACAGGACCCAACAGTACCCATGACCCCACACCCCGACAATCCAGTCCCACGAGCCCAACAGTTCGCCGAGATTTTGCAAGCAGCACGGACCAGGGCAGCAGACGCAATTAAAAAAGCCAACATCATCGCTAAACGAAACGCCGATCGCCACCGTCGACCTGTCACTTACCAGCCAGACGACCTGGTACTACTCGATACCCAGAACCTCCGCCTGCCCATCACTCCAAAACTTCGCCCCCGATATTGTGGGCCATTTCGCATCAGCCACATGATCACACCCGTCACCGCCCACCTCCTCCTCCCTGCTGACTGGTACGTCAGCCCGTCATTCCACGTCAGCCTACTTCGCCCTTACATACCATCCACGAGCCAACTGCCACGAAATCGCCCAGCCAGCATGACACGTCCCCCAACCGAACCACTAATCACCCCTGAAAAAATCCTCAGCCACCGAGTCCGCAACCCTCGGGGAGCACGACGGATCGAATTCCTAATTCGCTGGAAGGATCGAACGCCCACAGAAGACAACTGGGTCCCCCTGGATAAAATTGAGAACCACCCTGTCTTCACCGAGTATCTGCGAAGCCGAAATTTCCGCGACGTCCATGCGCTCTCGTAAGAGGGGCCTCCTTGGGGAGGGGGGTAGTGTAAGGAAATTCCCTTTTCCTTACTTCGCGTCCCTGCTCAACGCGTACATCACTGTAGCACCTCAGTCAGCACCGTTACCACTCGCGACCATCGCATCATTCATCATCCCGCCCTTTTCGCACATCGCATCCCGACCTCACGGCTCGGCTGGTAACCCGCGCTCCGGGCCTACGCTTCGACACTTTCCCAACCTCAGTCCCAGGCTCGTCGCGCGACAACCACAGTCCATTACCGTTACCACTATTGCTTCGCTATATAATCCTTCGCTCATGCCTTCGCTCATTTTGTACTCCTGCTTCGATAGTGCAATTCTCGTTCGTTCACTCAATTGCACTCGTAACACTTTCTAAAATTTTACCCTGTCGCATCAGTGTAAGATTATTGTAAAGCCTGGTCAGTTTTTTTTAATGCTGCACGCAATACAGATCCTACTCATCATCAGACATGCCCCAAGGCTGTTCATCGTGGTCATTGTTGCTGCAGTCAGCCAAGTTTCCAGCCAACCTGGCCTTGTTGTCAAGTCTGACAAACATACCAACTAGCGGAGGTGGCGGTGCCAGCAAGGAAACTGTAACCCTGGCCAATAGTGGCCCTCTGTGTGCCAGCACAGGATTTGTCAAAGCCGAAATTCCGGCTTCAGTGGCCTTGGTGGAATCCCAGGTTACGGGAAAGTGGGGGTGGGTGAACCGGGGGGAGGGGGGGGGGGGGGGGTAGGTTACGCGTTACAGGGTAAAACTTGATACGGGATCCGTAAACCCTTGGCCATCAGTGTGCCTTACAAAAAAAACCTGACTCATCAGGGTAAATCAACCTCCCCAAAAAAAAACCCTAGCCCATCAGTGTGACCATAAAAAACCACCCTGATTATCAGGGTATCAGGGTGATTTACACTGATAAAATTAGGCCTGTTCTCAACCCGTGTTTTTTTTCAGAAAATTATTTTTCCCACCCAGTCGTCTCCACTTGGACTGTCCTCCCCCCTACGTATATGTTCATTTGTGCGTAACACTACACTTACATGGAAACGGCTTTTAGCGTTGCTGCTCTAGCACCACCTCCACTGGAATATCTGTGCCACACCAGTGGTAGGTATACAGTAACAAGAGTCGACGGTGCTTTGAGCCTAGTGGCGGATCAATCCTTGTTCACTGCCAGTTCACTAAACGCGGTGAAGAAAAAGTTTCGATCGAGCTTTCAAGTGCGGTTTTATTGTCAACAGTTCTGAATCGCTCATCGGAATTCGGGGTGACGCACCCGTTCTGCCTGGCACGACGCAGGGGGGTGACGGTCGACCGAGCGTCAGGGCGGCCAACTCCCTCGCGTGAGTCCCCCGCCAGGCTGGCGCGGGGCGGGCCTCTGCCCACGCCCCCCGCCCCGGCCCCCCACCCCGAATTCCTACAGAACCCCACGTTGCAGCCGAGGGGTGGCAAACTCGCGCGTGAGCGACGAGGGGCCTATTTACCCCTTCACGGAGGTGGACATTCGCTTCGCGTTGCCCGCGAGGCCCTAGTAACCCTCTCGGGCTGCCCTCGCCGGGCAGGCGGGTTGGTTGCGAAATTCAAAGGGCCCGACCCCACCCTCGTCAACATCGCTGGCCCCTCGGGAGGGGACACGTGGCTCGCCCTCGCCACCCCGACCACCCCCACGCACGGCCCACACAAACCACCCACCTCCGCCCCTCCGAACCCCGCCATCGAGGGCATGCCCGGTACGGGCCGAAGCCGGAGGCTCGCCCTCGGCCACGACTTGCCTCGTCCGCCGAGCTGCATACTAGGCGACCGACGGCTCACGCCCATTTCTTGATGGGGGGTCCCACTCCATCCGTCATTTCTCCATTCCAGCTTCGCTTTCCGATTTCCTCTGCCTCCCTGTCAGCTCTCTGCGCTCCTCCCCAAACCTTCCGTGATACCGACCGTGGTGTTAGCATGGCGACCAGAAGGAGAGCACTGCCTGCGACTGAATTCCCCCTCCAGGTGCCAGTGGGCATCGGTGGGTACATGGTGACGCTGGAGATGAAGGACTACGAAGTCCTTCGCGACGAGAAGGCCGAGTTCACAGAACCTTGCTTCGACCTCGGCCTCGCGTGAGCGCGCATCCCTAGGTTGCGTTGTTAGTTGTTTAGGGTTCTGCACGTTTTCGTCGGCGTCCTTTCTAGGTCGATGTTGGCCTTGTCGTTTTCCCGCGTGGTCGACGATGTCCGTCCGCGATGGATGTTTTGGCGCTGCGTCGTCTTATAAACTAGTTTGCCTGTCCTCGACCATTGGCCCTACGTCGGTGACGTCCGTCATGCTGCCGGCGACATCACCGTCGTGCGAAACCTTCGTCCGAGTCCGCTTGTCTTGCTGTTCGCGCTTTACCCCGGCGCCCGGCATGGATTGTAGCTCACCGCGCAAGTGTTTCGCTCCCGCCTTTTCGCCCCCGCTAGTCCCAGGTACGAGCTCGATCGTCTAGGAAAAGGCGATAGGATGATCCTGATCCGCGGTGCGAGTCTTCGCGCTGCCAGGACGGCGTCGAAGGCGGACTATCTGGTTTTCGGGTCGGCCTTCGCCTTCGAAGCCCTCGCCATCCCCCTGTGCACCGGGTGAGTGTTCTGCGCCCGCGAGGTTTGATCCACGCCGACCGCGTTGCTTGTTGTTCCCGGACAGAACCCTGAATCTCTCCGTCGTGCTTGTGTTGGCAGGGGCGGACCTCTTCCTGGCAGGCACTGCAGCGTCCTGCTTGTTGTGCGCCCTGGCGACCTGCTTTTGCCCGACGAGGAGGAGATCGGGACGTTCTACCGCCACCTCGACCCCAAGACCTCCTCCAAGCGGCACGAGGAGGAGGCGGCCAACGTTTTGAGGTGGGACAACGTCGACGGCTAGTCGCGCCGCTCCTTAACGGCGTTCATGCCGCCTTGTCTGATGGCTCTTTTCCGTCTCGTAGCGCAGGTTTTTCGGCGAGTGCGTGAAGGCGGAGTTGAACCGTGAGGGAAGGCAGTGGACGGCTGCGCCTCCTTCCGCCGAAGTCCTCTCCGAACGTCTGGAGAGTCTTGCCGCCCCCATCCGTGATGTGAGTTTCCAACGTCCATGTCGCCTTGTCGCCTGGGCTATCGTCGTCGAGGCGTCGACTCACCCTTTTCGTCGGCGCCATGTGCTTCGGATGTTGATGCAGAAATTGCCCGACATCCTCAAGGAGGAGGTCACCGGCACGGGGCTGTTGGCGGTCAACGCGTTCGCGTGGTCGTTGGAACATCTGGACGATGTGTATCGCAGCTACGATCCGCTCATCGTCAAGAACCCGAAGATGGTCGGCTTGAAGGCGCTCCGACTGGAGCTGCTGCACCACGCGGAGAAGGCCGCGTCGAACAAAGGGGAGGCGGCGCCGACCGTGGGCCGTGGCGTCGGAACCGGCATCGCTCTGGGTGGGGAGGAGGAGCATGAGAGGGAGGACGTTGAGGGGGGCGGGGAGCACGACGGTGGCTCGGAAGAAGAGGAGGAGGACGTGGAGCGTGAGGAGGACGACGTGGTTGTCACCGGCGAAGAGGAGGCAGTACAGTTCGCCGGTGAGAAGGTTGCGGATAAGAGCGGCGGCAGCGGACCCAAGTTGGGCAAGAAGGCCCGGGGCAGCAGTGGCTCGACCCTGACTAGGATGGCGTCAAAGTCGGCTATCGAGCGTCTGAAGGCGGCGGAGAGGGAGATCAAGAAGCTGAGGGAGGAGAAGCTGGTGGCGGAAAAGAGGCTGGAGTTCCAGACGGCCCGGAATGACACGATTTACGGCGTGGTCACCTTGGCCGTGAACAAGCTCACTACAGTCGCCGAGGGCGTGACCCATCTCGAGCAGACGTCGGGGAGGAGCATCCAAACGGCGATGGACGCTATGAGGGCGGTCGTGCAGGAGGCGGTGAGTTATCGCGGCTCCACCCTAGAATTCATGAACACGCAGAGGCTGCCCACCGTGCAGGCCCTGCACTTGACGGCTACTGCTGCACAGGGTAGGCGACGGGAGGACGACCTCCTGCTGCTTCGAGGTGTGGCAGATGCTCTCGGCCAGAAGATCAAAACAGTCGTGTCTGCCGAGGTGAAGGCCGCCATGGAGGGCGAGGCGCAGCGGATCGCCGCTGCCGTGACTGCGAAGGCCGTCCAAGAGCTTAGGGACGACCTGGTGAAGGCGGTCACCTCCGCGACCCAACAGGGCATTGGCACCGCCGGGTTTAGCCTCCTCCCAACTGCTCTCGCGTCGGTGATGCACGGCGGTCGCGCAACCGCCGAGGAGAGTGGGCCGGCCCCAAGGCAGTTGGGGAAAAGGGTCGCCGACGAAAAATCCCTGACCGGCGACCAGACCAGCGGCGCTAAGCAAAGCAGAGGACCTGCGGTGAAACGCGGTGTGGGCGTGGATCCTCCTGCCCCTCCGTATGTTCGTATCCCTGGCGTCCACGACTTGCTGAAAGATGGACTTGGCACGCGACCGAGCGAAGATTTTCGACAGGTCGACGTCGCGCTCCATGATCCCCAGTCGGTGGTCGGGAAGACCGGTGGGCAGCCCGTGGGGGACAAGCAGCCACAGGCCCCGACCGATCCGCCGAGCGCACACGACGCGCCACCGAGCTGCGACAAGGTGAGTCTGGCCGACGAGCTCATGGGTCCGGCGACTGCACAAGGCGCTCGACCGAGCGGCGGCACGGTCCAGATGGCAGACGACATGCACGTCGCAGCGGTGGTCGGCCAGGCGCGCGGGGAGCCTGTTGCGGTCCAGCATGTTCAACCCTCGACGAGTACGCCGACTGCGCGACCGACCGGCGTCACAGCGCAGCTGCCCGACGACCTCTTGCGCCCCGCAGCGGTGGTCGGACAGCAGGGCGGGCCGCCCGGTGCGGGCCAGCATCTTCACCCGTCGACGAGCACGCCAACCGCACAAGACGCGCGTCCGGCTGGCGTCACGGCGCTGGTCGACGAGCTCTTGCGCCCAGCAGCGGTGGTCGGACAGCAGGGCGGGCCGCCAGGTACGGGCCAGCATACCCCCATCGCGACGAGTCCGGCGACTGCACAGGACGCGCGTCCGGCTGGCGCCACGGCGCTAGTCGACGAGCTCTTGCGCCCAGCATCCGTGGTCGGACAGCATGTCCAGCAGGCCGCGACGGGCCAGCATCCCCACACCGCGACGAGTCCTGCCACTGCACGTGACGCGCGACCGGGTGGTGTCACGGCGCTGGTCGACGAGCTCTTGCGCCCAGCAGCGGTGGTCGGACAGCATGTCCAGCAGGCTGCCGGTGCGGGCAGCTTACCCGTTCATGGGGCCATGGTCGCCGCGGAACCGATCCCGATCCCAACGGCTATTGAGTCTCGGGCGGTCGAGGCTCTAATCACTCAAAAGCCATCGTACGACGAGTATCTGAAATGGCTCGAGGATCAGGGTCAGAAAACCCCAGTAATTCCTCCGACTCACAGCAACCAGGTGGTCGACCAAGGAGCAGAGGCAGGGAACGTCGCGGCGGCGACTGCAGGGCCGAGTGGCTCAACGGTGGAGGCGGCTGTGTGGAGAGCGGCGGAAGAGGCCGGCGGGGTGGACAAAGAGATCCTCGCCAGCATCGTGATGCCGGACCCGGAAATCGAGGTCATGCGGGAAAAACTACAAGCAGCAGCTCCCACCGTGGGAGCGCAACAGGGTGCACCAGCCGCCTCGACTGCTCCTGCGGAGGACCATAGCGCGGCTGGCGCCAAATCCCCCCCGGCCACAACCGGTGAGGTCGGCGATGGGAAGTAGAAGCGCAAGGGCAAGGACAAGGCGAAGGGCGGCCCGCCGAAGGTCGGCTCTTCCAAGGGGACGTCCAAAGCGGCCGCGCAGGGTCGGAAGGGTTCAGGCGTCCGCGTTGACCCTTCAAGTTGGCTGGCCGTCTCGGAGATGAAGTTTGGGAAGAAGAGCCGTTACATCTGCCGGTCGATGGACAAGTCCGAGGCCGCCTACTGCATCGATGTCGCCGTTTTGTCTTTCGACGGCTTCGTCAGCGACGTGGTTCTCGACGAGTTCGGTGGGGTCAAGGAGGAAGTGATGGCGCAGTATAAGGCGGACTGGAATGTGGCGCGATTGATTCCGGGGGGCATGTGGATGGTCATGTGGAGCCGAGGGGCGAACGTCTTTCGCGACAGGTAAGCTTGGCGAATGCTCAATTTGGTGCTCGTTTCGGTCGGTACGCGTGGGCCGGTCGGTGACGGTGGGTATTCCTGGTGTGTTTCGCAGGTTCCAATAGGTGGTCGTGGAATACAACTGGATAACCGGAGCCGACCGCGCAGCTCTCATGTTGGCTCTTCGCCCGGCGGTGTGGTTCGGCGACCTTCCGGAGTCGACCGAGCCCGAGAAGGCCGCGAAGAACAAGGTGGCGAGCGACATGATCGCACGCGTTTCGGTGGCCGCGAAAGTGACGCCCATTCCGGGCGTCGGGTCGGAGCGGTTGTCCGAGATCCTTGCCAGTACTGCGGCCGCGGTGTGGTGTTTTTCGGAGACCAATGCCACGGCGGAAGTAGCGGCCGGCGAAGGGGGGGGCGGCAGCGACCGTGCGCGGAGCGTCCAACGAGTTCGCGAGTCGGTGTCGGACCGTCATCGAGGCGGTGCTTCAGCGGGCGGCCTCCCGGGTGGTCGCCGTAGGGGAGGTCGCCGAAACGGTGACGAAGGACTTGCAGGCGGCTGTGGTGAGGTCGCTGCCTGAGGTCGGAGAGGAGCGCGAGCACGACGAGCTGATCGCCCGTGTCATGATAGAGAACCTCGCCTTCTGGGGGGACTGCAATGTCAGAGGCCCGAAGCTCAAGGCTCGCGGTGTCGATTTGCCTATCGGCCCCCAGATGAAGATTATCATTCGGGACAGGGGGGCGAGGCGGCAGCAGCACAAAGGGAAGCAGGTCGCCGACGCCTAGGTCGTCGAAGGCTGGCCCGCCTACTCGTAGCATGGTCGGCGTGGGTGCAAACGCTGCAGGCTTGAAGACCTACAAACGTTGTTTTGTTGTTTTGTTGTGCCTCTCCGGCTTAGTGATGCTGAACTTGTTCGTCGGTAGTTTTTCAGAAACGTTGTGAAGTAGGTTTTGTGGTGTGGAGTCAGTTTGATGCATGAACAACAGACAAACTTCTACTAATTTACAAGTCGAAACAAAGTTGGCAGTAAAAGAAAACCGCCCTCAACCCACCCTCAGTCACACCACGCTCAGCCAGCAGCACAAGTCGGACCCAGACGCAGTACCCTCAGCCCGCCCTCTTGCGCTTCCCTACGCCGATGGCTTTCGCAGTCGCCTCGGCCTCCAAGCCGGCCTTATTGGCCTGCTCATCCCACAAGTCGCCGAAGAGCCTCTTTCCCCAGTCAGCGTCCATGTAGCCCGCCGTGACCATACCCCACGCAGCGGCGAGCTTCCTCGCCAGCGGCTTGTCCAGACCCTTGATGCCGACCGACTTTCCGTCGGCTGTGGTGGGGACCTTGATGGGCGGGGTTGCACGGAGGACCAAGAGCGCGTCGCTGAAAGTGGAAAGCCCCGCTCGCCCCAGGTGGTCGAGTAGCTTGATGACGGCGGCGGTGTCAGCGGCGTCGTCGCTCCGCCGCAAGTCGTGCACTGCTTCCATGATCCGCCTCATCCGGCGAGTGCATTGCTGCAGCGCATCGTTTTTCCCCGTCTCACCCACCTCGGTCGTGGGACGAGAGCTCTTCGCCGACTTCGCCGATGCGGCGGGTTTGTCGCCCTTTTCGACCTTGCAGATCATGCGCGTGTGTCTGACGTGGAATCTGTGCTCGTCGTAACGTTCGCGCAACGGACGCGAGTCGAAGTTGGACGGGTTGTTCCACCAGCGTCATGCAGCCTCGACTGTCTTGGATGTGCGCCAGGGATGCACGACGTTAACCTCGTACGTCAGGTCATCGTCCTGTTCCTTCTCGATCTTGACGGACGCTGCCTTCTCGGCGGCGGTCATCGGCCTTGACGGTGTCGGCGCAGTCGGCGTCGGCCGTGCCTCGGCCAGCTTGAGAGCCTGCATCAACTTCGCGATCTCCGCGTCCTTCTCCTCCAACTTCTTTTGCATCTCAAGCTTCTCGATCGCGGCATCCTCCCTCTGGCGATGCAGCATCATGGTGAGCTGGTCGACCTGATATTCGGCGTCGACTCGCGCGCTGAATTTTTGCGATCCAAGGGGGATGGTCGGCAAAAGGTGAGCCAATGTGGCAGGACGACTTGTTTTACAGGTCGCCGGAACGCGCACGCCCTACCTCTTGGGGGTTCTCGCTCGGAGTACTGCGCGTCGCGATGGTTTCGACGTCCACCTTGTTGACGTCCTTGGCCCATTTCTGGAAGTCGGGGTCGCGGCAGAGCTTGGAACTCTGGATGTACGGGTGCCACGGTTCGCGCATCAGCATGCACACAAGATCCTCGGCGACGATTCGGCGGCCGAACTCGATGAGCGATTGCAGGAAGTGCACCCCGGCCGTGTTGGGCTCTCTCGCGGATGCGCACCTTACCGCCTGCGAGTCGAACACAAACACAAACACAATCAGCCGTCGGTATAATGTCGTCGTGGAGATGGTCGGCGGGTTGTCGGCGTTTTTGCCGTCCGAAATGCTCACCTTGGCCAGTTCCGCTTCAGCCCACGGAAAGATGTGCTGGGCGATGAGGGCCACCACCTTGTCGTCGGGCTTCACCATGCTCCGGCCGAGGTGGTAGTCGCCGCGCTTGCCCGTGTAGCCGGCCTTTCTCAACACCGCCGCCTTCGGGATGGTCGTGATGTAGCTCTTCGCGAGTTTGTCGAGCGCCCAGTGGCCCAAGTCGGCGATCTCAAATCGCGGAACGCCGTCGTCGGCCAGCTCCTGGGCCCCACCCGCCCGGGCGGCGTGGGTGTTGCGCGTGATGAAGATCTTGTTCGTCCGCCACATCTCTTTCATGATCCGAGAATGAGATGAAGCCGGCAGCTCTTTTTGTGCCTTGTCGTTCCGAGCATGAAAGAGGTGCTTGTGATACCAGCTGTACGGAGTTGTGAAGTCGAGGGGCGGCACACATCGAGAGGTGGGCGAGCGGCTCAGCTGGTCGTACACGAAGTGCAGCCACAACAGTGTGTGACCAACGGCGCATATCTCTTGCTCCAGGTGTCTCGCCGCATAGCTGTGATGCAGACGAGCATCCTTGTTCGTCTTGGAGTTTCGTGACGCGACGACCATGACAACCGGCCGTCGCGTGGAGTGCTCGGGCGACGCGCTCCCCATTTTGTACAAAAACAGGTCGGGAAGCTCGATCGCTCGGAGACTGGCTCCGCGGAGAAGGGTGTGGTGACCCAAGAGGGTCATCGTCTTCATCAGCAGAAACTTCCACAGTGTCTGGGAGGGGGTGGCCGCTTTGGGTTCGTACGCCCGAGCTGCCCAGGTCGGCAAGACCTTGAACATGAGGTGGCGGATCTGGTCGGTGGTGTACGTGTCGCCGAGCATTCCGCGGTGCCGGTCGACGCAATCCCTGCACATCAGTTTCCACGAGGACTGGGTTAGCTGGGCGAACCGGGAAACAGGCGCGGGACGACTTGCCGACTTACCTGTCGTCCCTGTGCCACTTCTCTCTGACCATCGCGCGCACCTCCGAGCGGAACTCGGAGATGTCGTACATGATGTGGAGCTCCTTCACCCCGAAGAGCGTCCCCTCGACCTTGCAGGCTGTCTGGAGCGCTTTGATGCGGATGAGCAGCATCAAAACGGTTGTCGGCTTCAGGGGCTGGACACGGACGTCGGGATTCAGCTTCTCGAGCTCCTTGGCCTTTGCAATACCGTGCTGCCTCGCGATTGACAGAATGTACGCCCTGATCTACGTGGCGTTGACGCGCGGACCGTGCATCCATTGTAGGTCGCCCTTGGCGGTGTGCCACTGATCACCCATGTCTTCGTCGATGTACCTCCCTATCTCGTCCTCGTGTTCCAGCACGCCGTCCCCCTTGACTCTGGCGGTTTGCTGTCTTGGAAGGTTCGCGCAGCACCATCTTCTGAAGTCGAGCAGCGCCCGCAGGTACTGAACCCGGGTCGTTCTCGCCTCCAGCGTGTCCAGATGCCGGAAACCCCACATCATCCTCAGCAATCTGTTCTTCTTGGCGAGCTCTTTGTTGATGTCAAAGGCGGCTTCCGCAAAATCGTCGCGCGGAATGTTTTGCAGGAAGGCGTCATCTTTCTCGTCGGCTGCCAACAAGTCCTCTACGGTCAGATACATGTAGTCGTTTTCTGGAAATGGTCCAATTGGCGGCGGCTGCTCCGTGTCTGAACGCGGCGAGTACCGGTCCGGCTCGGGTTCGGGAGCCCCTTTCGTCCCTGGCGGTAGGGGGATGGTCGGGTCGACGGGAATTTTTGCCCTAGCGGCGTCTACGCCGACCACCATGTCGGCGGGAATATTTGCCCTAGCGGCGTCTACATCTTCCTCCATGAAAGGCTCGTTCAGGTCGGGAATCGCGCTGCTCCCCGCCGGCGGCGCGACGCCAGCCATCTCGGCGGGTAGAGTTGTTCCTATCGGCCTCTAGTTGTTGCCGCGGTCTCGCGGCGGTACGTGCTCGGCCCACCAAAGTCGATACTGCACAATCGCTGCCGTGTATTGCCTTCGCACCGTGGCCCTAAAGGCCGCCCGTCTTTCGGCCCTCTCAACGTTCTCGGCGATCGTCAACTCCGCGGCAATGTCGGTCAGTTCGGGAATTTCGGGAAGTAAGGGCGGCGGATTAGTGTTCTGCTGGGTGACTTTCGGTTGTTGTCGACCTAGCTAGTCGTCCTAGTCGGAATGATTCTAAGTCGGAAGCCCGTACAGTTTGCCGACCTAAACGCACTCTACACCGGCGTGGCTCGTCGTCGACCCTGCACCACGCGTGGTCGGTCGGTCTCCGAGAAGCGTGAAAATGACTGAGGGAAATGTGGCTCACCAGAATGAAAATGAATGCAACGCAACAAACAAGTGACGAAATGCCATGGACACTTGGCCGTCAGGGGGTCATAGCATAGAGAGGCACAGTCTCGGTTCGGGCGGACAGGTGTTGGCGGGCGATCCGTGGGCAGGTCTCCAACCCTGCATGCCAGGCAGAACGGCGGCGCAATGGTCGACGTGGCACGGGACACGCATGTCTTCTTCGCAGCCGACTGTGTGGTGTTCCCATCACGGTGAACCGTGCTTACACGTCGGCGTGACGCAGTAGTGCTCATCGCGTCGCCCGACGATGGTATCCCGCGGGCACGTTCCCGACAGCAGGCCGGCGAAGGCTTGATGGCCGCGTGGACAGACGTTCGTCGATCGATGTTCGCCGCGTGGAATGTTGTGTTTCGGATGGGCGACGTGTGGCTCTGCGCGCCAGAGCAGTGGTCGGCCAGGAATCGCGATGGGCCTCACGTCGCAGTCCGCGCCGATGGCAAGCTGGACGTCGCGGCAAGGTGGCCGCGACCGGCGTCGTCGACGTGTCGACCTCGTACGGAGGGTCCGTTGAGAGGTGCCATCGGGGTTTGTCTCATCGGGATTGCCGGGCGACGCAAGGTGACGCTTGTCGCCCAGGACGTGCACTCAGTTAGCCGGACAGGATGACGCAGGGTGGCGGATCCCTTTCCCGAGCCGCGTCGTTTTTGCACCCGGATGTAGTCGGCGCGTTGAGATATACCATGCTGAATCGATACTCACGAATCAGAATAGTGATTCTTGATTAGAAATCGACATGGCCTGACCCGCCCTTCTGCCAGGCTGGTTTGGAGCGGGGCAGGAGCCACCGTTGCATCAACCAAAACGCACCACACTCCGGATATGTAAGAGACAAAGGCTCCAGCCTGCATGCTGTGATACAGTGCAACAGACCCGCCCGAAGGCAGACATTCCCAGAGGTCACCCGAGGCTCGTACCGAAACAAGGCGGGAAAAAGGGGCAACTTCTGAAACGCTTGTGGCATAATTCATGAAGCTCAAGGGAAGGAACGGTTGCGATTGGCTATAGAAGGCTAGGTCAACGTGTTGTCTTGCATTTGTGCTTGGGAAATTATACGCGCAGTCACAATTATGGCCGTATTATCACGTTTGGTCACGGGGTTATCACGGACAGTCACAGTACAGTACTCCGCTATCACGCTTGATACATTATATCATTTGCTGCTGCAAGCGTGATAGCGCTATGATCATGCGTGATAGCGAAGTACTGTACTGTGACAGTCCGTGATAACCCCGTGACCAAACGTGATAATACGGCCATAATTGTGACTGCGCGTATAATTTCCCTTTGTGCTTCCTTGCGGTTGCATGTCATGTGATGTGAATGACGTCGTGTAGTTGTCGGCGAGGTGTGACACACGCACTCATATGTACAGAACTGTATCTTCCGAGGCAGATGTGGGCCATATTGGAAATAAGAAGTCGCTAGAGCGCAGCGAAGTTGGCCAACTCTCGCAACCAAAAAAAACACAAAATGGTACACCCTCATTCTCAGTCTTCTCACCGGCGGAAGCAGTGGCTACAGTGTTTGGACGTAGCGGGCTGGTGAGATAACTCGGTTGCGGGCCAAGTCGCACGAGGCGACGAAACCAGACTTGGGCCGTAAAATTCCGTTAACGCTGAATAACTGTCTTAACCGTTTAGAAAACAGCAGTACCATTCTAGAACGTATAGAACCCTGACTAAACGCCCTGGGTCAAACTGTCAGTGTAACGCATGTGATATGACCTTCTTTGGTCCGCTGCGGCTACACTAAGCGTCCCGGTCAGTATTGTTACGAATAGTAATATCTGATATTACTAAGCACTCCTCACCGCAGCAAGGAACGCACAATATTGGGAATGAACGCAAGCGTCAGACGGTTGGAATTGAATCGAAGAGCCGGACGGTTACAGCACATTTGAACCGTCGGAAGCAAACGGCATCGGACAGCTGCAGGCACGATGGTTTTGGCGGGAACAGCTACGAAACTGTACGCGCCGAACGGTTGGGATGCACTCTTGAATAAGGGAATGTACCCCTTAGAGTACATGGCTAGCTAGGTCGTTTTGTCTTCCCTGTACTCATATTTATACTCCCTGTATCTGCATGTTCTATTCATCTCAAGCATTTTACATTCACTCTGCTATTGAGGTCAAGGGCCCACCAACACTACCTCACTGCGTGCGAACCTTCCAGAGTAGATCATGGGCTACGATCAACTTCTGATTACAGCATGGTATGAGAGCGGCTCTGGAATCCTTCGCACCGTCACTCCCGAAAATTACGACATTCGGAAAGTGGTGTCCGGCACAGGATCACGTACAAGGATGGCCGGAGGATCTGGTGGTCAGACTAATCTGACGGCTGAAGCACAACCCAACCCGGCTGTAACAAGCGGGAACACGACGACAATCGACTCTGTAGTTCTCGCACAACTTCTTCAAGGACTCACCAGCTTGGAGCAAGGACTCCAAACACTGCGGAATGGCGATGCGGGAACTTCCTCGCAACCCTCTCAACCGGCCCCGACTGGCCAAAGCACCGCCCCGCAAACATTCTCCCTCGACACCAATGGCTCAACCCCCAAGACTCCCTGTCCCAGTGAAGAGGCAATTCTCTCCGCTCAATCAAGGTTTCTCAGCATATAAAAAATAAAAACAAGTACCTGTTTTGACGGTAGAGACTTCTATACCTGGAGCTTCGAATTGGAGCTCTTACTGCAGAACGCCCAAATCTTCCATTACTTTGACGGGAGCTATGCAGAGCCTGCTGAGGACACCGACGACGCCAAGACGAGGTATTACAACGAATCGCTGATGGCGTACGGAGTGCTCCTGCGGAATATGTCGGCGGCGGAGCAGCTCAACATTCGTTCGTACAAAACGACAGCTGCTCCAGCCCTCAACGCCTGGCGACATCTGACAGGCGTGTATCAGCCCAAGGACTCCGTGTCCTCGAGCCGACTAATCCAGGAACTGCTGGAAACCAAGATGACCTCAGGGGAGAAGGTCAACAACTACCTTAATCGCTGTCGGAGTCTTCGCGATCAAATCGTGAAGTTGGGAAGCACGATATCGGAAGAAATCTTCGTCAACATCGTGCTTCAAGGGCTCGGCCCAGAGTGGCGGCCCTGCAAGGCGCTTCTCCGACAGCAGGGGGTCATCTCGGAGGCCGCCCTTTGCGCCGCCCTTCTCGTCGAACAGAGAGATATGGATCAGCAGCGACCAGCGCCACGACGAGAACGCGAACGGCTCGCCTTCTACGCCGACAACAACGAAGAGCGACGGCCGAGGCGCCTCTACTGCAAAATTTGCAGAAATTTCGGGCACTTGGCGGATCGATGTAAATTCCGATCTCGCCCTCGCCTGTCCAATCCGAGCACTTGGACCGGCCAACAAGACGCACGAGGCGACGTGCGTCCAGCCCAGGGACAACAACTCCCACCTGCGCGCAACCTGAACCCAGCGGTTCAGCATCAGCAGCAGCAGTCGTCATTGACTGCCCTAGTTCGCAATGTCAGGAGCAACATGACCATGTCAGGCGAGTCGCGTCGTCGCCGCGTGCGCTCACCTTCACCTGAGCCAGCACCACACCCCATTGGCGCATCTACCAACAACAACCCTTTCAGCCCGCGCCGCGACTACACCGACGACGACGACTAGGACTGGAATCTCCCAGTCCCGCTGCTCGAAAGTCCCCCGCACGTCCCTGATATGTGGGTGGCGCCACTTGATTGGCTCACGCGCGAACAATTTCTCAAGTTCGACACCCCGCACATCGTCACGCCGCGACTGGCGCTGCTCGCACGTGACGACAACAAGCGCTACAACACCTGGTACCTGGACAGCTGCTGCGGCCAGCACATGGTGGGCTCCGAGTGTTACATATCCAACGCCGTCCCCACCCCTACCGTCACCTACGTCACTGTGGCAAACAATACACGCCTGCGCGCAAGTGCGCAAGGCATCGTCGTGCACAAGGCACGCAGAAGCCGCACCCACATCACGCTCAACGATGTGTTGATCGTCCAGATTTTGCGCTTCAACCTCATGTCCGCCGCACAGCTCATGGATTGCGGCGTCGACCTCAGCACGGACCACGCGACGCGAGACATCCTGCTGCACTACGAAGCACGCAACTTCCCTCGCAGGCAGATCGGACGAGCGCGCTCCGAAAATGGAGTGTACGTCTTGGGTTTCGACATCCCCGACTGCAGCGACAACTCGCACGAACTGATTGACCTCGTGCCACTGCACTTCGAGCACATCCACCGCAGGAACTGGAAGCACCCTGACGGCAGACCGTGGGTGCCGCACCATCCCCACCCACGCGAAACGGCATTACACAATCCCGATCCGGATGGAATATGCAGGGATTGTCACACACCGACGACTTCAACGAACGCGATTGCCGGCCGGGGACTCGCCGTCATCGCTGAAGCAGAGCGCCACGCGCCCCCAAGGGAAGGGATGTCGCAGCTCGAGCTTGAAGCCACTACCCATGGAATCTTCGACACGCCAGAGCATCCCCTCATCGGCCCCCCCTCACAACACC